GAGCTGGCCTGACTGCCTTCTAAAGTGACCTTGGGAATGCCCTATATTAGAGTTTACCTTTATTCTACTTACTATGCTTTTTTATAGCATAGGCTTTTCACAATGCAGTGTATCTAAAGCCATGAGGTGTTTTTTTTTTCCATATTTTCCATATAAGTCGAGGAGTGCTAGAACTCCTTCCAGGTGGCTATAGCTGTCTGTGTCTCTGTATCATCATTGGCAAGATTCTTCCTCTCTTTTTCGCCTGGTGACTGTTGCCACCTTGACAAAATCCAACGTTTTACAGTTGTCATCTGAACAGGAAAATCCTTCAATGGTGACACTTGTTCCAGTGACAGTTGTCTTGGGGCCTGTGCTGATGAGCAATGGAAGTGAACAGTCTAAGGCAGTGGTTCTCAACCTTCCTAATGCCGTGGCCCTTTAATACAGTTCCTCATGTTGTGGTGACCCCCAACCATAAAATTATTTACCCAGTAATTATAATTCATGAAGTGTCGTTTTACCTCCAATACTGCTGCTTTCAACACAGTAGCTGCTTTCAACACAGCAGATGCTTTCTACACATCGGAAATATGTGTTTTCTCGATGGTCTTAGGTGACCCCTGTGAAAGGGTCATTCGACCCCCAAAGGGGTCGCAACCCACAGGTTGAGAACCACTGGTCTAAGGGCTCATGTACACTGCAGCTGATAAACACACGTTTAGGAGCTGTTCAGCGTTTTTTTCAGCAGCCCCTGAACTCACCCTAATGTTTTCCTATGTGTCCATGTACACATCTTCGTTTACCGGCATTTGAGTTCACAGTCGTTTTTTGAATGCAGAAAACTTGCGTTCAGCAGTCAATTTTATCAGTGTTTCAAACGCAAAACGCTTGTAAGCGCGGCAAATCGCGTTTATAAGCGTTTGCAATTTTTTTTTCTTAACTCTTCCTGTTCCCAATGCTGTCTATAGCCTTTTTTCATCATGAAAAGAGCATGCAAAGCATTTTCAAGGTACTCAGGTGGACAAAACACTGAACACAGGATGTTCCTACCAAGCTTGTCACACATTGGAATGACCAATTCACACCTCAGACCTCTCCCACCCTTGGAAACAAAAGATATGTTAATGACCATTCACACCTCAAATTCCTCATGAAGACCCCCTGCCAGGTGACCTTAAAGACTCACTCCACCAGACACCTTTCCCATCCTTGGAAACAAAAGAAATGTTAATGAGCAAATCACACCTAATTATCTCAACACATACTGCTATCTCTGCTTCTACTCTCTGTATTTCTCTGAAACAGTCTGAAATAGTTAATAATTTACCACTTTTCAGTGCATTCTGGGCATTTGGGAGGTTCTCCTGTGCTTATCTTTAAAATACGCTTCTAAACGAAAACGCACATAAATGCGCATAAACGCGTTATGCAAACGCAGCTAAACAAACGTTTTTTAACCTAAGTTTTCCAGCAGTCAGTTTCCATCGTTCAGAAGTGTCCCGTGTACATGGGGTCTAAAGCTGAACAAAAAAATCCCCCTGCACTGCAAAGGTTAACTGCTCATCCTGTATGGGGGGTTGAGGAAGGGACTGTATTTCTTACCTATTTACTGTTCCAACAGGTCATGTCGCCTTTTCCATGACGCTGTGGCCTGTGGGCAGTCCCACAACGGCATCATGTACAATGCAGGGCTATTAACCCTGGATTGTATGTAAAATGGGAGCAATGTGCAACCCCAGCCGTGACAGTTTATAGGTAAGGCTTCAGCAGCCTACTTGCAGAGATGGGGGAAGCTTGCTGGAGTGCAAAATAAAGTATTTCACCTTATTCCCGCACACCCAGACATAACAAGTATTTATCCCTTGCAGCTTAGAGTTCACTTGTTAAATCTTTACTTGGAACATTTGGAACTTGCAGCATTCATTGCAGGTACAGTTCAGTTGATCTGCATTTATAGCAGTGTTTGCATGGTATAGGGAGAGAATTGGAAAAGTCAGTTGACACTGGCTCTACAGTAAGCTGTCCCCAATGGGACACTCAGACTGAAGATTTTACCTCTCTCTAATGAAGCCAACGCTTAAAAAAAAAAAAAAAAAAAAAAAAAAAGTTTTTCTTATATATTTCAGGTATCCTGGATGAAGTTTGATAGCATTTAAAAGGAAGCAATGTTGATAGCATTTAAAAGATATTACACATTTTTAGCAGCTTGCCCCTCCAGTTTAGGAAAATATGTTTGCAAAACATTTGGCTAATATCTGAACATACCCACCCTATAGATCAATAGGTGCCGCCAAACCAATATGTATGGATAATGCCCTAATTCTATATGTCATGGTGTGGTGGTGGTCACTCCCTGTCTCTTGAAGGCCCCCTTACTGGCTGGCATGTTGCTGATTCTCAATCACTAGTGAGAGATTAGTAATAGAGCAACAGCTCTCTAGTGGAGCTGGGAGGGAGCAATGCCATGTGATTCTCTTGTTGCTAGTGTGACATGGATTTTAGAATTACAATTTTTTTAGAATCCAAACTCAAATGATTTACAAACTGCTCCTATTCTAAGGTCCACCAGTAGGTCCTGTAAGCTCTCGTCCACAAGTTTTTAGCTTTAGGCATGCACAGATGAATCTTTCCATCAGTGGCGTGAAGAGATACAAGAGATGGCCAGAGATAGCAGACATGATACAAGAGATGGTTAAAGGCTGTGGACATGACATGAGATGGTCAGAGACTGTGTGAACATGATGCAAGAGATAGCCAGAGATTGTGGCCATAGCCGTGCTCACAGCAGCCAAGGGTGGATAGTGCAGGGGTCCAGTCTCTGGGACTCTGTGTGGTTGTGCTCACAGTGGTGTGGTGGGAGTCTCCAGCATACAAGGATGGATGGTGCAGGGGTCCGGTCTCTGGGACTCTGTGTGGTGGGAGTCTCCAGCATACAAGGATGGATGGTGCAGGGGTCCGGTCTCTGGGACTCTGTGTGGTTGTGCTCACAGTGGTGTGGTGGGAGTCTCCAGCATCCAAGGATGGATGGTGCAGGGGTCTGGTCTCTGGGGCTCCATGTGGTTGTGCTCACAGTGGTGTGGTGGGAGTCTCCAGTAGTTATAAGTGGATGGTGCAGGACAGGAGCCCAGTCTCCTGGTCTCCATGTCTGTGCAGATTACAGTGGGATGGTGCAGGCCGGCTCCAGTCTCCGTGTTTGGACTCGGGAGGTGTGTCCACTTACGTGCTGCTGTGCTGTCGTTCTTTAAAACGTGGTGTCAGGTGGCCCCATGATGTCACTAACTCACTGCGTATGGGCCCACCAGGCCAAAGATGGCCGAGCATGTCCAGGCCCAGTTAGTTTTGAAACTGTGCATGCGTAATTCCAATGCTGTCCCAAGACCATATTATTTACAGACGGTTGGCAACCCTGATGTCATCCCTCTGGTGGGTGTCACCTGGGTGCAGTCCGCACCACCATAGCGACACCACTGAATTCCATAGTAATGGCGGCAGACATTTCTCGCCATTATGGACTAATCCACTGATACTTCCTGGACAGTTTAGGTCACATGTACAAACATAGGTCGAGGCATGGACACCATAGACTCTAAAGTAACCTTACCTGGGCTCCTGTGGCTTGTACTCTAAGGATTTTAATTAGAAAAAAAATTATCTTACTATGATTCAAATTGAAAGTAAAAATACACATACTGTGTGTGTGTATATGTATATATATATATATATATTATATATATATATATATATATAAATAAACACTGTCTTGTCTGGTCACACCTATCTGTCCACTGTGTATATACATTGCAATCCTCGGCTAGCAAAACCTAGCTTAAAGTGTTACTGAACCCACAACAGTAAAATCAGTCTGTATATGCAGTAAAGCATGCTTGTTATAATCTCTGTGAAACCTAAGGGTTTAATCCTCTGCAAAGTTTGAATATGGTGTTTGATCCTCCTCTTCTCCCAGTGCCCCTCTCTTATCTCCTGATATGACATATAATGTGGAGGCACTCTGCACATGCTCAGTTTGGTGTATATTGCTAGAGAGTTTTTTTTTTTTTTTTTTCTTGGGAGAGTGCATGTGATCAGCACAGGGCCAATCAGCACTGTCCAGATAGCGGGCCAGGGTTTATGCAGCCTCATAGGACAATCAGGGGAGAATGAAAACTCCTCCTACAAGCTTTAGCCAGTGCTCTGCTGAACACTGATAGAAGTGCAAGACTGCTGATTGATGAGAAAAGGTATTTAGCAGTTTATATTTAGTAAACTAATTGCATTTCCATGTATTGTGTACTGTGGGAGACTAGATCGAGTGTATGCAGGGTCCTGGGTTTAGTAACAATTTAACAATAAAAACAATTAGTATAGAGTTGCCCAAGTCTAAACATGGTAACAAAGATGTCAACAATAGCCTCAAATAAACAAAAACTTTTGCAAATGGGGCCACTAAATAGCATATCATGCTCACTGATTATCACAATAATATGGCTCCTTCTAAACAGCCAAAAGAGGCCAATGGTTATCCATACCGACACTGCCCGTTTATTGCCTTTATGTATTCCATTATATTATAGTGTCCTTTGGACCATGTCCTTCAAATGTGAGCATACAACATTTACATAAAAGAGCAGTAAAGTAATACGGAAGCAGTACAGACAGTTGCTACATAGGTAAAGCTGATATCTGCCCAAACAGATACTGAAATGTAACTTCATCACATTGTAATGACTTTTTAACTAGTAATTGATATGACAGTCTGCAGATATACTGAGGCTCATCTGTATGAACTGACCTGGAGCAGATGAAAGCAGTAAGTAATGGCAAGCAAGTGGATAATAAAGGTGCATAGGGCAGCCGCAAAGCATATAGCAACTTCTGTATTCATCCCATTCTACGAAAAGGCTTGTTTTCCTTAGTTATGTTTAACATATTTGTTCCTGCACCTGGTCTTTTGGTAATATGGATTTTCACAAATGCAGAAAACTATTTTTATATTCTGGATGATTTTTTTCATTCTGTAGATGCCAGCACACTCAGACCAGCCACAATGAGGAGAATCTGCGACCAGAGACATCCCAGACCAGGTCCTTAATGGATATTGGCACCAGACGTGTCTTCACTGCTGATCATGACATTTTCAGAGAGAGCGTTAGAAGATTTTTCCAACAGGAGGTGGCGCCCTACCATGCTGAGTGAGTTATGTCTGTGCTCAGGGAGACACACCTATGGATTCCTATGTCATCCAAATGGAAGTTTTATTGATATTTTTTTGACTCCTGTCGAAAATTAAGGACCCATTTCAACCTTGATTTTCCAATAGGTACTGGTGTGTGGGCTTGCTAATATGCTTTTTATATCTATAAGAATCTCTACTTCTAAAGTTTCTACATTTGAATTCCCATGTCCTCCTCCTGTGGATGTGCTGTGGTCTTTTACTTTTGATTTTAATTTATTACTAAGGCTGGCCATACACTATACCATTTTCTGCCCAATTTCCTTTAGATTTACCTTCAACTGTGTGGTAAATCTAAAGTAAAAATCTCAAGAAAATTGTATAATGTATGACAAGCCTAGGTATATTGAATGTATTAGGTTAAGTGAGTGTCTCCAGTGGGGAATAGCAGAGTCTGGGTCTTGGGTTTGAATGGGAGAGAAGGTTAGGGGCAACAATTGTTGTTAGGAGTCTTCTGGAACACAGGTGTTCAACCTGTTGATTAGTACCCCAAAATGGAATTTTTGGGCTCCCATGCTATCAGATATATCGTTGCATCTCTAAGGAGGTAAAAAGAGTCCTTTATTTTGGGATACAAAACAATGTATACTGACTGCTGTTATCCAAACCCATGTCCGATTGGCATTTGGTGCCCAGTTACAAGAAAAGCTGAGCGCCAGAGATAACCAGATTGGTTTATGAATTTCGACAACGTAAATTTGGATTCATCTAAACATGTATGTTTTAGAGAAAATATTGGAATATAAAGCATTTGTTGAGTGAATTGTAGGGAATGGGCAAACCGCTAAAGCAATTCTACAAATATCAGTAATGATGGGCTGGCGCAATAATTGTTTAGTAAGACAGAATTCTATATCTGCAAAGATGATCTAAAAAGAATTTAATAGACGGTAAATCGATAAGGCTAGTAGTGTGGAGACAAGAAAAGTGATAAGTCTTATAAGAATGTGAAATCAAACTAGAGGTGAAAGAAATCATAGGAGGAGCAATATGGAACTAAGAAAAGAAAGTAAATTAGTACATTGAGTACAAGCAAGTGGTATCCAGTTCCAAGGGAGCAATTAAAAGCAAAACTAAAGGAAGAAACTTTATTTTTTTCATTTATAGAATAAGGAAGTGTCATACCCTTGTCAGATTTTTTTTTTTCTTTTTGCCATCTGTGTCCTATTGGGGAGATTTCCCTTCACATCCTGTGCCATAGCCAAAAAAGGAAGTGAGAAGAAATTCCCCAAAGTGAGGGAATCCCCGGTTGTCACCAGGGTCACAAGAACTAGTGTCCCCATTAGAAGATTTCCCCTCTATTCCTATTTTGGGCAGAACCCAAAATTTGGGGTTTTCTTTCATTTTCGGTGGCGAACGTAAACATGACAAATAGAGACCATCCATAGCTTGAATATTAGTTTGTAGTAAACTGACTCTTTGAAGCGAAACTTCACCCAAGAGGGGAAGTTCATTTTTCTTCCTCCTCCCCCCTCCTCTAACACCTTTTGGACACAATTTTAAAATTTTTGGGAAGTGGGGTACCTATTTTTGACAGGTACCCGCTCCCGTTTCTGCTTGGATTGCCTACACAATCCGAAGTTCGGTTCCCCCTCTCTTTACACGCAGCTTTCTTAGACACATCACAGGTCCCAGAAAGCTGCAGGACCATTCACAAAATGCATCTAGTGCATGCGAAGTAGGAAGCCAGCTGTGAAGCCACTAGGACCTGCAACCGATTTCCCATCATAAAGATGTCAGCGCCGGGCACCCAAAAACCAGTGAAGAACTGGTCAGGTGATGACAGAGCTGGATCCCTAGACAGGTAAGTGTCCTTATATTAAAAGTCAGCAGCCACAGTATTTGTAGCTGCTGAATTTACCATTTTGTGGGAGCCACTGAAGATCCTCTAAAGTTTTTAACTTAAATTATACACAAATTTTTTTGAAAGCCCATCTCCTCCATGAAAATGGAGACCTTAGATCACAAACTTCTATGGTGGCAGCTAGCAGACTTACAGACCACTTGCATTGTTTAGTATTCTTTTCCTGAACTGCTGAGCATACTTCAACCAAGACCTAGTTAGCTGCATAGACTTCTATGGCAGACTGTACATAAGATAATGAATGGACCGATGGGCAGTAGGCCTGTAACTGCCCCCCCCCCCCCCTCCAACTGTATACAAAAAGAGTAAATTGACTTTTATTTTGCTGAAACAAAACGCCTACCCAGTACTGTATTATTGTGTGGGTTCCATCAGTACAGGCTGCTGGTTCTGGTCTACATGTGAAGGGCCACAAGAGAGATTTTTACTCTGTACTGCAGTGAGTGGGGCAGGCTCTTTCTTACAGCCCTGTGTGCATGCGTGTGTGTGTGTGGGGAGTTATCTATAATTGGTAAAAGTACCCAGTGAATCTGTCAAGATTATATTTTCACATACATCAGATAAGAAACCTTGTGGTATGTTGGCAGTAATGTTGAGTGTGCCCACCAGAGCCACTGTTAAGGCAGTACAGCCATCCCTCCTGTGCCAGACCTGGGCCCATCAGTTCAAATAGGGTAGCCTGGGCACCTGCCAAGAGGGATGGCTTTACTGCTGACCAGGGCTGGGACAAGGGAGGGGGCCGAGTGTTGAGGGGGTACGTTGTGAGCTTCAGCTAATCCTTCAACTCTGTGGCAGGCATGGTCCTCCCCCTCAACGCAGACTAAAGCTACCAGCTTCTGTCCCCGCTCGCTGGCCCGCTCACCACCTGTAGCACTTCCATAGACCTTGAACTACAGGTTTGGGAGGTGGTAAGCAGACTTGTGTCTGTTTACATCCACATAACTCCTAATTCCAATCCAATCCGATCTGCTAAAAAAGCATAATGAAGTGGAACCGTTTCCTTTTGTCTGGGCAGATCAAATCCAAGGGCAGTTGGGGCATAAATGGACAGCCGGTCCATCTACATCCAGCTATGCATAATCGGAGAGGATACAGACATTTTATCTACCCGCTATGATCTGTGGGGGATCGATGTGTGAGCACTAAGGACTCATTCACACAGGTAGTTTGGCCATGTGAATGAGTGGATTGGTGATGCAGTTGGATCCGCCTGTTACTCTCAGGCTGGCCATACATTATACAGGCCTTTGCGCTACATAGTTGAAAGTAAATCTAAAGAAAATCCAACAAGAAAATTGTATAATGTATGGCCAACTTAAGGGGACACAGCAGCTGTAGGAACACAGCCATTGGTTCTGATTTGACAGGTGTGCAGTGGGTGAGTGGCCCTGAATGCACCGTTTGTGTTCAGTGCTATACACCTTCACCCACACGCCTGTCATGTTAGGACCTGCAGCTATGTCCGCATAGCTGCTGCATCCCCATAGAGTTACATAGGCTGACTGCACACAACTCCAGGTGGCTCCAGCCACATAAACAAACCACTGGTTCACCCTGTACAGGCCACAGCACCCATGTGGATGAGCCTCAAGACCTCATTCGCACACACAGCTTTTTGACATCGATCGTAATTGTTTTCTCACAGACTTCTAGATAGAAATAATATGGATATATTATATAAAAAAATGTGTTTTTTTTGCTGCTAATTGTAATGTCGACCTAAATTGTTGTGTACCCCGACTAACATCGGTGGGGTGGATGGTTTGATATTTATGTCTATGATATGTGGTTGATATTCATCCATATTTTTATTATCATTTTTTTAGTATCATATTTGATTTTCTTAAATTTTTTATATTTTATATATATATTGTAAGTCAGAATGTAGAGTTCCGCTGTAATAACACTGGCCCTTTAAAAGACAATTGTATGAGATATTGCCCATATCGAGTATTTCTTTGGTAATTTATAAATGTATTTGATAACATATTGTAATGGCTCTAGGTTGCCTTGATATGACATTTGTATAGATATAATATATATTCATTGACTTAAACCCAAAAAACCCACAATTATAGTGAAAAGATCAAAACCCAAAGAGATTACCCAAAAAATAAAAAATATCAAATATATATAAAAGAACAAAAATAAATAAAGTCCCAATATGCAAAGTGTCCAAATAATGTGTCCAAACAAAGATCAATTTCTTGATAGGAAGACGCTTCCTACTCCACTGAAGAAGATGCAAAGACACTCTGTACATATGTGGTTGATTACAAACTGGAATTTGTTTGTTTTAGGGTAATTATGCACTTTATATATAGTTTGCAGTGATATTTAAAATTTAATTTTTTTTTTTTTTCTCTCTCACATGAGTGCTGTGACACTGGAGTGTTGTTTTTTTTTTTTTTGCATGATACACGTGTGGCACTTTAGTTCTGGGATTTAAAAGGTAATATACTATGTTGAGATTTTGTTTTTTGAGGTATTTGAAGAGCACCTGTGATTGATTTGCATCTTCTTCAGTGGAGTAGGAAGCGTCTTCCTATCAAGAAATTGATCTTTGTTTGGACACATTATTTGGACACTTTGCATATTGGGACTTTATTTATTTTTGTTCTTTTATATATATATTTTCTATTTTTTATTTTTTGGGTAATCTCTTTGGGTTTTGATCTTTTCACTATAATTGTGGGTTTTTTGGGTTTAAGTCAATGAATATATATTTTATTAGTACTTCAGGGGAAGGATTTGATATGACTTTAAGGGATTTTTGAGGATTTTATGTATATATGTGTGCTGATTTATACTTATTCAATTTGTATAGATATAATTTCTCTAAGCAATTTGTCCTTGGACAGTAGCAAGTGGGGTATAAATTGCTGGCATGTAGTGACGCTCATCTTTCCGCTCCGTGAAGATATCAGGTGACAAAACGCATAGGGTGGAGCTTCGGATTGATGTCACTACGTTCCGTAAGCTGCCGGAGTCTCCAGCTTCTGAGACAGGCTTATGTGTTGTGCGGTTCATGCTAGTGTCGGCTTATGGCACTTTACCATGTGAGTGATTTGGATATGATTTTATAAATAAAAACCTGCTATACAGTATTACACTGTCGCCTGCTTTGTTCTCTTCCCTTTGAGCCTATATATTATATGAAGATTCGGATAATATTGGAGAGTCTTTTTGCCGTGGTTACCAGTCTGCAGACCATTGCTCCCAGAGAAAATGCGCAAATTGCTAGTTTATAACATTACTAGCAATTTGCTCTGGTGAGTTTATTTATTTCTATTGGTGAAGGATTGTTGCACATTTGTGATGGATTTCTTCACATCATATTATTTGAATTGAGAGACATCACAGAAATATTTTTTTGAAGCACTTATATTGTAGTTTTATGAAAATGTATATATTTTTTTACAAGTTTGCATTTATGTTATCACTATCACAAATAAGGGTTGATTTATTTGTTATATATTATTATTGATTGATTTAATAAGCGCTAACTTTTTTCCTGATTTATACTATTATCTTTGTTAGAGGGTGAGGTTTAGCAGCTTGAATATAACACAATTATATATTTGAAGGGTTTTTTTTTTTTGCGCTGTATTCACTTATTTGTTATTTTACTACAGTGTTATCTTGTAGATATAGCCGGAATTTTGATGAGTTTGTGTTCACTAATAACAATTTTAGTTTATTTTTAAAAAAATATTATTTGTTCATTTCAGAAGGGTTGGGCCCTGTCAGGTAGGCTGTACGGGGCCCTGTGATTTCTAACAGCAACCCTGGTGCCCATATATGTTTATTTTTGAGGCAATTTTGCATTTCACTAGTAAACCACCTAGTTTTTGCCTTGTTTACAGGTAGCATGCTCCGACTAAAAATGATGTAATTTATAAGATGCAAAGCTCAGGTGCATTGTTACCAAGTCCAACCTTTACCATTTAAAGGTTCACCCCACCCTATTATTTAAAAGTATCTGCAGAGAAACTCTAATTGATCATTTTTTATTCCCTTTTTCTTAGGTGGGAGAAAGCTGGACAAGTGAGTCGGGAATTGTGGGAGAAGGCTGGCCAGCAGGGTCTCCTTGGTGTTGCTATTCCAGAAGAGCATGGTGGTGTTGGTGGTGATATCCTGTCATCTGCTGTTGTGTGGGAAGAACAGTAAGTCACTGAACCCATCAATCACTCCGATGTTCTTTGTCTGTATTTTGTCATCCCTGTAAATCTCTATGTGGTCTTTCTCAGGATGTATGTGAATTGTACAGGACCTGGCTTCAGTCTCCACTCCGATATCGTCATGCCGTATATCTCCCGGTATGGCAGCAAGAGCCAGATACAGAAATATATTACACAGATGGCGGCTGGTAAATGTATAGGTGCCATTGCAATGACAGAGCCAGGAGCAGGAAGGTAAGCTGCACTTATTTAGAAATATACACTAAATTCCTCCAGTTACTGTTTCTGATTAACATAATATTACTTTTAGTGATCTGCAGGGTGTGCGGACTAATGCTAAGAAAGATGGAAGTGATTGGATTTTGAAAGGCAGCAAGGTGAGTTATTTGAAATATAAACTTCGGTGGTGCTTTACACTAGGCCTGCTGTGTTCTGTGTCTTGTATATGTTGCAAGGTATAATAATGGATTCTGTGTGTGTTGTGTGGTTTTTTTTTTTTTTTTTTTGTAAAGCATTAAAAAAGAGGTAAATGAATGTTCAAACAACATTTTAGAATATTCATCTTGTTAAAATATCAACAACAAAACCTTTATCACCATCTAGTAGTATAAATTGATGCTGTAGTTGCACAGCAGGCACCTAAGGTTCTTTATTATAAATCGACTCTGACAGGTCAAAAATTAAGTTTCGAGCCCTCTGGAAAATCCAAACTGCAGAGATGTTGGCACGCCACCTCTCTTCTCCCGCATTGGAGTGCTCATTGCCTGTGTAGCCTACCACCCGTTCTACATAAATGGAGCATGTCTATGTCTTTGCCAGTTTTGACTTTCAGAAAGTCTTTTATTTGCATAGAAACTTTGCAGCCTCTTGGTACAAGCTATGGCACCATTGGTATGAGTGGGCATCAGGCATACACCTGCATGCCAGTTTTACTCCACAGCGCATTCTATGCTTAACCCCTTAACTTCTGATTTTATTTTATTATCAAAGGAAAACTGGCCAAAATAGTAAAAAAAAGATAATTTTTTTTAAATTTAGCTGTGTGTTTCTTGTTACTACCATAATCTACCACCAAAGAACAACCCAAAATTAAATTCTCCAGCTCTTGACGATCGCAGCGATACCATATATGTCTATGTTATTTGTTGTTTGTACCCGCAGTACAGCCCAGAAACAATAGTGCACATTTTGTTTTTTTACCTAAAACACACTTACACCACATTTGTTTGTTTTTTTTAATTCTGACCTTGACTCAAACACTTACCCTGGCACTGAACTAGATCAAACCTTGATCTAGGTATTTTTTCTTTATTTTTTAATATTTATGTATTTTTTTTTTTTTTTTTTTTTACAAACTTTTTTTTTCCCTCTATGCTAGGAGTTAGAGAGATACAACGTATCTCTCTCCTCTATTCATACAGAGAAAAAAAAAACAAGGGGGCCAGGCTGTACAGTGACTGAACACTGTGATAGCCAATAAGAAGCTATCACAGCGATCATGTGACCTGGAATCGGGAGTCCCGGGTCCCGATCGTTAGAACGGGACCCAGTGCTTTCAGTGACACCGCGGTCTTTGTGCTGGTAGCGCGTTGTGCGGCACGCTCTCAGCAGAAAGACAGGTACGCAAGTTTGCGGCCCCACGGAAAAAAGCCCAGTTCTGTGAGGCCTCATATTTGTGTTACATTGGTGTCAAGGGGTTAAAGTATAAGTTCACCTTCAGAAACATGTTACATTCTACACCTGTTTTTAGGGTGAAACATGTAACATGTTCCCACTCCTGCAGTTCTCATCCCTGATTTCCCCCCCCCCCCCCCCCCTCCTTGTGACAGCGGGTCAGGGATCTTCTCGTTCCTGCAGTCACAATTTTAAAAGACGTGACCATGCGGGGCTTTGCCCACTCAGCTACATCATTTATTCACAGAGTTCTGTGAATGGGAGAACTACAACTACCGTCAGTCTTTGCAGCTGATGGGTTGTAGTTCGCAATGAACTTCCAGGGCACTGGTAGTTCATTCAGTCTTCCTGTCATTGTGTAACTGCCTGTACTGTACAATGTATGAGTAGACCGCTTACACTGACAATCTATAGGAGTCCTGCATTGCACCCGTGATCTGCTGATTACAAGTGCAGTGCTCTGCTAGCTCCTAATAATATATACACTTTTTTTTTTTTACTTGTAAAAAGATGTGCATTTTTGTATTTATTTATTTTTCGTTGTTCAGACAGCGCTAAGTACAGTTTATCTGCCTGCCAGCCAGGCAACTAGGTTTTTAGGAGGTTACGAATGGCAACCTCCACATCTCTTTTTACAGGTTACCAGTGAAGGAAAAAAAGTTTATGATTTGATTTTTAAAACCTTTTATGAGAGAACGATGCCAATTTTTTTATTCTTTAAAACATGTCAGTTGCCTGTTTCTTAGGCTGGCCATAGACGGGCCGTTTATCAGCCGAATTGTCGGCTGATAAATGAAAAATTGGTTGTTGCTGCCATGGATGCTGCCACCAATGCTTACGAAAAAACGGTAGTTTTTCGTAGATTTTCCAGCATGAACGATAAAAAGAAACGAGAAGATCCGCAAAAACGGCCGATGGGATTGCCCCACTAATGGTGTGAATATCAGCCGATTTTTCGGTCGGACAAAAAAATTCGTCTGATAAACGACCCGTCTATGGCCTGCATTATACTGACTCCCTAGCTTCAATATGTCCTGAATCACTGACCCAGAACAGGTATATAGATCAGGAATTCAGAAAGAGAATCAAAAGTCATTGGAGCGGATTTATTAAATCTGGAGAGTGCAAAATCTGGTGCAGCTGTGCATGGTAGCCAATCCACTTTTAGCTTCAGCTTGTTCAATTCAGTTTTGACAAAAAAAAAAAAAAAAACTAGAAGCTGATTGATTTCTATACGGAGATGCACCAGATTTTGCACTCTCCAGTTTTAGTAAATCAAATGCATTATCTACAGACTTGTACATTTTGGGTCATTGCACAGTGTATTGGTGCCAAAGGTTTGTTGTGACAGCCAGAGCACTAGCATCTTCAGAAGAGGTCAGCCTTGACAACCTCCATGCTTTCCTCACTACAAGTTTCCTTTAACCTCTTCCTGTCTGGCATATGTCGATAAACGGCCAGATGGGAGCCCTGCTGATGCAGATGGACGTTTCTAAACGTCCCCCCGCATCCATTGTCTGTGCACGCTCCCTGAGAGCGTGCGAACACAGATCGCTGTACGGGACCTCTGTGTGAGGTCCCGATTCATGTGATCACTGATTGACCAATCAATGATCACATGAGCAGTAGTAAACAAGATGTCACTTCCTGACATCATTGCTTACTACTTGTGAAACCTGTGAATGATCACATAGGTCACATGGCACAAGGCTATTCATAACAGCCTTGTACCATGTGACAAGCTGTGACCAATCACAGCTCACACAGTATTTCTCAATGGCTGCAGTAATGCAGCCAGAGAGAAGAAAAAATGATTGCTTTTTTACAGCCTTTATGTAAAAAAATCTTCATCACCCCCCACAAGTAGTACAGTGTCACTATGGTAACCCTGTACTGCTAGGGTGACAGTATGTTAAAAAAAAATTAAAAATAATAATAACATAAAAAAATAAATAAATAAAAATGTAAATAAATGTTTTGAAAAATTATAATTTTTTGTTATTTTTTTTTAATCTAAAAAGACAGATGAATACATTTTGGCCAAGATTTATGAAGAAAGATTTATTTGTAAATTTTTAAAAGAAAAACACTTTTTTTGAAATGTTTTGGATATTTTAATTTAAATAGAAAAAAAATTAAAATCCCAGTGGTGAATAAATACCACCAAAATACAGTTTTATCTATCTCAAAAAAATGGTAAAAAATTAATATTGGTACAGTGTTGCATGACCGCGCAATTGTCATTCAAAGTGTGATAGCACTGAAAGCTGAAAATTGGCCTGGACAGGAAGGGGGTGACAGTGTCCGGACTTGAAGTGGTTAATAAAGTCTTACCCTAGGTTACCATCTAAGCGATTTCCACAGTGTTTTGCGTTTTGCAGAAATGCAGTACGGTCCATTTTAACATGATTTCCTATAGGACATGTTCACATCTCCGTGTTTTCACCCGGTGCATTTTTAGTTCTATAAACTTCAATGGAAATGCTGCAGAAAAGCATGTAGTGCGTTTTTGATGTGTTTTTGCCACGTTTTTGATGCGTTTTGTGTTTTAAATCTGCCTAGCAACAAGAAAAAATGGAAAAAAAAAAAAAAAAACTAATTCAAAACTCATCAAAAATGTGGCAAAAACACAATACAGAAACTGCTCAAACTAAACCTGCATAGGTGTGAACCTAGCCTTAAGGAGTTTGATGTTTAACTAATCAAATGGTTTAATGTTTCACTGTGCTAATCTCAAAAGCTTTTGCTATTGATTGACACACTAGGCTACAACACATCATTGCCCTTTGTACTGCTATTATGTAACAGACTGTATGTGTGTTCAGAGTAATATCATATTTCATAATGCACTTTTTTTTTTTTTCTTTTCTTTTTTTTTTTTTTTTTTTTGCACTTGTGCAGTACAAAAATTTTAGCTTTTATAGTTTTTAGTTTTTTTTTAATACTCTGTGTCTGGGTAATCTGTATATATAAGGCAAGGTTCCGATTTTGATCCGATTTTCAGTGATATTATGTAGTGCAACTTGGATGTGATTTGCATATTTTACGTGCCCAAAATCATGCTGGAATTGCACCAAAGGCAGGAACCTTCTCCAAATTTGTGCTGTGCTGAGTTGCATTGATGTAAACAGGCTCCATTGAAAACAATGTGATTTTCATTGTCATTTCAATTTGTGCCATTCAAGTCACATCTGAAATTGAACTAGTGCAAGCAGAGTCTAAGGCAGGGGTGGGCAAACGTTTTGACTTGAGGGCCGAAATGGGTTCATATATTGGACCCGTGGGCCGGACCAAGAGTACATGAATGATGTGTATGTGTCATCCATAGTAAGTATAGTAATATTCCCCCATAGTAAGCATAGTAATTCATCCCCCATATAGTAATTCATCCCCCATATAGTAATTCATCCCCCCATAGTAATTCATCCCCCATATAGTAATTCATTCCCCATATTAATTTATCCCCCATATTAATTCATCCCTCATATAGTAATTCATCCCCCATATAGTAATTCATCCCCCATATAGTAATTCATCCCCCATATGGTAATTCATCCCCCCTATAGTAATTCATCCCCCCTATAGTAATTCATTCCCCATATTAATTCATCCCCCATATTAATTCATCCCTCATATAGTATTTCATCCCCCACAGTACTATTCCCCCCCAAGTAGTAAGCCAAGTCCCCCCTGTGTCAATTCA